CGCTTACGGCGCGCGAGTTAGGAGACACGCACGACTTTGGTCTCGAGATCTTCCAATTTTTTCCGTGGAAATGTGTACGGAACGTTTCGAGTTGACGGAAGGAATTAATTAATAAACATTACGCGTACGTACTCGCGGCTATGAAACTAGGCTGGGGGGAACACCGATCGTGCGCAAAGTGTAATTCGCGTCACGCACGAAGAAACACGTTAGAAACACGCTCTTCGGCGATAGACTCGTAATATATATTGGAGGGGAAATTCTATTAGCAAAATTCTGCGATGTGATCCCAGTAGTTTCCGGCGAGGCAGCAATGGCAACATACGCGGCGAAAAGGCGAAGAAGGGACAGGGGCATTCGCGCGTCCCGACGGATTATCGGGTGTCCCGGTTTTCCACGACAATTGGCTCGCGATGTTCGTTCCGGCCAAACTTTGGCCGCAACCGCGTGTGCGATCCTTGGCGCCGTCGACGCGCCGCGACGCCCACGTCGTCGCTCAAGTATTGACCCAATGTTCATCGTCGTTTCGTCACACACACACACACACACACACACCTCCGCGAATCCGTCGCAGCGTCGTTAATGCATGTATGTGTGTATTACATTGAGCTAATGAAATTTTCTATCGAGATAATGGTCGGATAACGAACCCGCATACTAGCGTCGGTCTCTTCCGCAGAAAATTCTTCGGTACCGTTCCGCTCGGACACGTACGAAAGAAAAGCGAAAATTATGGATGGGAAGATAAAGCGAGAAGCGACGAGAACGTCACGTATTTCCCCGAGACGTTCTCGCGCAGAGAGAGAGAGAGAGAGAGAGAGAGAGAGAGAGAGAGAGAGCGATTTTGCTAACGTTGCTTCCACGTGGCGCGCGCGCGCGGAGATGAATTTTCGCGTCGTGCAGCGTTTTCTATCCGCGACGATTTTGAAACAATTTTACGGCCGTCGAACGAGAGAGATCTCGCGCGCGCTGCGCGGCGTCGGCTTGCCAGCGAAATTATTGGTCGCGACATTCAGAAGCGTTTCATTAAGCATATTTTCCGACACCGCGCACGATCCATACGCGCGCCGCATTCCGTCCGCGAATACCGGAATTCAACGGGTTTCCAGCTGCGTCTGCGAAGCGCCGTAGTACACAGCTTTACTTTCCTCGCCTCGACGACGTCGGGCGCGAAACGTTTACCTTCACCCTTTGTTCCGGACGGGAACGAAGTGCTGTCTTCTTGGTAATTCGCAGCGAATATATCTTCTTCGCGTTCCGGAAATATTTCTCAATCTCTCGCCTTCATCCGCACCTTTACGGCAGCTTTTACTTTGACACGCGTTACAATTCGCCTCAGAATTCGATGCCAGACACGCCATTCGATCGAGTTTTATTGCATTTCATTGCATTTACGCTATTGCCGATGTTCACTATTCGGAGGGTAATAATGGGTGATAAATCTGCGAACGTCTCAACAGCCTCTTGTCACGTGGCCGACGCGAGTAACACTTTTAAGCCCTCTTGGAAATGGAAAACACTCCGGAAATAAATAAGCGGAGGGAGATTAGGAGGCGCATAATGCTCTTCAGAGAAAAAGAGGAGGAGGAGGAGGAGGAGGACTCCCCCCCCCCGGACGGGATCCTTTTCATTCGCGAGCGGGGAGGACAATGCACCTACAGTGCGCACGAGGCTCGACCAGGCGCGAGACGAGAAGGAAGTAAAACTCGTTACGTCGATACTTTGAGTCACGGTTGAATGTTATTTCGTAATCCGACGACGCGATATCTCGTCACGTTCGTGCTGGTCGTGACAGTTGTCTCACGAAGAAGATCGCGGTGTCTTTCCTTTGAGATTTCTCGCCCCGCCCGCGCGCGCGCGCGCACGAGCAAATGCAAATTGCATTATTGTCGGACGCTCGGACGCGAAGATGCGACTCCAAAGCGCATTAAAATACGCTACCGAGAATTATGACTTACCGCGATTTTTCGCTGGCACGCTGATGACTTTTCGAGACAAAACGAGACGACGATAAATGTCCGTGCGGAAATGGGATTAAAATCGACTTTCCGGCTCGAGGAATAAAACATTACTGTCGAGATCGATTTTTCGCCGGATTCGCCGCGGCGCCGGCTTGCTTATCCCTTGCTGCGCGATTTCGTCCGCAGTTAAGTCTCACGTTCAGCCTCGTTCATCGAGCGCGCGGCACGTGATGTACTCCGCGCGACGCCGCCGTTTGCCGTTTACTGTTGTTATCGCCGATGTCGCTTCTCTCATATCTCTCAACTCCTGATTCGAGCTCGGCTGTTTCGCCATCTTCTTGCTTTTCTTGCCAGGTCCTTTTTGCGACTTTTACGACGCCGGATATTGTGTATTCTCTGATATTTTGTATCAACGATACAACGATATGTCCCACAGGTAGCATCGCGAACGAGAGTGCTTCATTCAACGGTGAGAAATTTGACGATACGAACGTTTCGTTCCTACTAACGTTTATCACGCAAACGGCGGTAGCCGCCCTCCCCCCCATTCGTGTCTTTGTTATCAAACATATGTGGATGTTATCGTGGAATAAATTTAACTTTTTAGTCCAAAGCGTACTCTAATATTCACAGTGTTATTAATAATATACACTCTAATATACACACACACGTGTGTAATACGCTTCGCGGGGAGGGAAGGAGCAAGAGCGATAGGCGATACCGCGCGCGCACATTATTGCCTTCGTTTAAATCATTTCCGATGTAACGGCACGATAATACTGTAAAACAGCGCGCGCCCGCTGTCAGATGCAGACGCAGGTATAAAACGCTCGATAGACGTCAGTCACTTGGTTGGTTATTTTTAACTACTCATTGCTCTTAACTTTCCTTAAAAAGAGGAATTACTTTAAAGAATGTGTTTATTACTTAGTTATTAAACAGATATCAAACGAATCAATATCGCACGCAGAGCTCGCACGCAGAGTCTCTCTCTCTCTCTCTCTCTTCCCTTGCTTCGTGCTGGGAATCGAGACAAAAATAATAAGAGTAACAATGATAATAACAGGTGCAACGTGCGCGTACCTTCGCTTCGGCGCAAAAAGGAAAGACAAAAAAAGGGGCGAAGCGCGCGCGCGCGCGCATCTAACGTGGAGAACAACCAAAAAGAAAGTAAGGGCGCTATCGCATGCAGCGAAAAGGAATACTAGAATGCCAGAGACAAGAATAAGCTAAAAAATACTAGAAAAAGAAACAATAGCATATTTCTTAACAATTGCCGTAACTTTTTAGAAAAAAAAATGCTCTTTTTCCCCGATTACGTTTGTCACATCAGCGATTACGCGACGATATCATTCGTGTCGCACATTCCGCCGAGTTTCGAGCGCGACTCCTTACCACTTACTGCGCGTATTGCGATATTCTCTGTCACGACAACAGGGGCGGGGGTTGCGATGGTATTTGCGATAAGGAAGTAAGTTGTTCGGGGAACTGTTACGTGGGCGCTCACACAGAGCGCGGTGGGCGGTATGCAGACGAGGTTTATTTTAGTTTAGAACTCGTGTCATCACGCATTATTCGGTACACCATGAGTCAACAACAATATCGACTTCCCCGGCCTGATCATTCTTCTTCTAAAGCTCCCTTGAAATATCTTGCAGGGCGAAAGAAAGGGCTGGCAGAGACGGACATCGGTGTAGGGATGAAGAGAGCGGGGACAGAGAGAGAGAAAGAGAAAGAGAAAGAGAAAGTACGCGTCTCCGACGCGACGGAGGTATTATCGTCGCGATTTCGATTTAGCCGGGGGAATATTCGCGCACATGCGGTCGCGACTAATTTTAACCATATATATAGTCCACCGGCGGTTAATTTTCTTATTTTTCTTTATTTTCGACGCGTTGCACCGCGTCAGCTGGCTTGTACGCGCACGCATCTTTGTAGCAGAGAGATGTATAACTCGTACGCAAACATTCCGCTGTTAAATTTATAATCATACACCATTATATAGTGGCGCGCGGGGCAGTGGGTCGTCAATGATTTATTGTACAAAGTTCGGTTATCGGAGGTAACAGAAATACACCGTATTCCGCTTGAGCTTAATAAAAAATTGATAATAATATGGGCATTTAACGATTTCCCTCCGGCGAAACCGCCGCCGGAACTATTTATTACGTCGATGGGTCTCGATGCGTGCAATTGAGGTTTTCTGCATCATCGAACGCCATAATTGAGACTGTACGAAGAAATTGTACGAGGAAAATTAATGGGAATCAAGTGGCGAGGCGTCAATTGCAATTTCATTGATAAAGTTATCGGCAACGGTGTTGTGTTGAAACGGTTGGTTCGTTAAAGAGACGTGGGAGTACGCGGGAGGACGGAAACACCCTTAGCGGAAGTGAAGAGACGCGCTAAATATTAATCGCGGCGCGTTTTATTAATGAGATATGTCGGTCAAGGACCCGGACCCGTGAAGGAAGAGGAGGTGGGACGGGAGGCGGGAGAGGAGAGACGCGTTGTCATTTCAGATCATGATTCATTGACGTGTTCCTCCTCGTGTTCCCAACGGAACTGAAACGCTGATCGCGCGGCATTATGCATACGCGCCAATTTGCCTTCATTTGCATTAGACGGACGAACGGACGGACGTGTGTGTGTGTGTGTGTGTGTGTGTGTGTGTGCGCGCGTCTTTCTCTTTCCGCGCTGCTCTTTACACGCTCCCGCGGCCACCTGACGGAGAAGAGCAACGCGAGCTCCCGCGAGGGAGAAATGCGAAGAGTTGTTAAAAATGCAAGAGCGTTGTCAGATCAGCGCGAATACTCGGATTATTAGCCGTACTTTTCTTACAACGCTAACAATTCTTCAGACGCGCGAGCAGACTCTCGCGATTATTCTCAATCTCTCTCGTCTCTCTAATCGAACGTTATTTATCACATACAACACCCCTCCCCCCCCCCCCCCCGCCCCTCCCCCGCGTGCCCGTGATACACCGCGTTCGTCATACATGTTCCTTTCCTCGGCTGTAAACGTTTCGTATTTTCGCAGGGAGGAAGTGCAAGAGCACACGGTCAGGTGGAACGCCAAGTTTGAGTTTTTATGCAAGATGAGCGCCAATGCATCCACGGGCGTGCTCGATCCGTGCATCTTGAGGATATCCGTGAGAAAGGTGAGAGTAGCAACGGCCAACTTACTTTCTGTTCGGGATGAATAGATGAACGGCTCTCGTGCTGGGAAAGCACGCATTGAGAAAGGCCCCTCTAACTTTTATTTTCACGATCGTTTTTCCTCTTATCTGCTCTCGCGAACGCGCGCGTGCTCGCGCGTGCTCGCGCGGAGGAGCGATATTAGACGGAAAAAGCAACATTCGCGAAATTTACATCAACCTCCAAGGTCGGTGTCCGCCAATTTTGTCAAAGATCGATTACATCCTTTCATCCGAAGCACAATTAATTGGCAGACACGTATTCATGGGCCGTTAATCTGCAGAAATAAATACAAGTTAGATTAGGGCTGACGAATAATCAAAAGTTGATAAAACTTGATAATTAATTGCGACAATGACAACAGCCCGCCTAAATGCCGGCCTAAATTTCCACTCGGATATCTTTTTGGTCTCGACGAGTCCGTTGAAGAAGACGAGAATATTTTTTCTATAATGAATGTGATTTTACTCACCTTGCTTGGAAGCACGTGATGTATATCGGTGTCCTCCTCGCACATCGGTTCTCTCCTCGTCTTTTATTCTGGCTGCTCTGTCGTGACACTGACACTGACACTGACACTGACACGATTCGACATGAAGGTACACATGCGTTAAATAATAACGCAATACCGACGAGGACTCGGTTAAATATTTCAAGTGCCGGTGAGCGTCGCGGTATGCGCCTCGTTCGTCGGCTCGAACGGCTACGTCCTGACGAGAAAAATCGGTCAAAACCAATATTGCAAAATGTCACATGCGCGCCTATCGCCAAATACTAGCCAAATTTTTCCCCTTTTCGCGAAAAATGACTCATACATCCGACAGCCAAGAGAACAAACAATCAACATTTTGCAACAAACATTCTGGACCTAACAATTATTTTGACTGTCGTCTGCGTCTGTCGTGGCGCATATCGTTCAGTGCTATTCAACATTTAAAATTTATCTTAAACCTCGAAAACGATAGTAACGACTGTTCAACTATCAAAGGACTATCAAAGGACTATCAAAGGACACAGAAATGACCTGTGCATTTTCCCTGAAATATCTTTTCTTTTTTCCATTAACTCTTCAAGTACGATAGAATTTTAAAAATTAAATATATAAATGCGTTTTCACAAATCATCATCGTATCGTCATGTTGTAAACAACGTGTCAACTGACCTTTTTTTCCACACCATAGGAATTGAAAGGAGGCAGATCCTTCCAGAAATTAGGCTTCACCGATCTGAATCTGGCCGAATTCGCAGGAGCTGGTCTTTGTCGAAGAAGGTGTCTCTTGGAAGGTTACGATGCGAGACATCGTCAGGATAACTCTATGTTACGCGTAGCCATCAAGATGAACATGCTTTCCGGAGATATCCTGTTTAAAGTGTAAGATTATTGTTTATTTATCGATAAAACAACGTCGCAGTTGCAATTCTTTTGCACGATTAGTTATATATATATAGTTTGCACCATATTTCTTTTTCATTTCGTTGACACCTATTTTTGATTCGACAAATCTTCTCAATCCAGATACAATAAAACTTTTATATTAATTTCTACTTATATTCTACCAACTTATTTACATACATTTCTACTTGTAATATTTTTTTATTAAGAATTGTAAGATTACTTTATTGCGCGTTCGCGATATGTACACAAAATTCAACGAATTGTAACTTTGACAAAAACGCAGATAACGAGATGATTCGAGAAGCCAAATTTTACAGTCCAAAGTTTATAGTTTGAACGGGCTAGGGTTACCATCCGATCAAGTCAAGACGCGAACCTATATCACTTAGCCGAGACTCAAACCTTCCCCTGATGTGCCCAACAAAGTGCCACAAAAGCTTAATACTTCACTCCTCGAAAGCCAAGACGAATTGGACAAAACGCTCAAACATGAATTAAATATTTTTCAATGTAATTTTACTATATTTAATCACATTAACCATTAGTGATTTCGGAAATGCGCGAATACTGATTGCAATGCAATTAAATGTGATAAAATTACATTGAAAATTTGATCCATCTTTGTGAGCCAATTTTGTATACAGTTTGTTTTAATTCTCGAGAAATTAATTGTCAAACCTTGAATCTCGTGTGATCTCGATGCCAAGAAGGTTTGAGTCTCGGCTAAGTGATATAGGTTCGTATCTTGACTTGATCGGATGGTAGCATTTAGTTTCGAAGTCTCCGCTACAAGTAACGCCACGATAACAAGCAATTGAAGTGGTAGTAAGGCTCAATAGTATGGTCAGACATTCTTTTCCTTGTATGCAAACGTAGGCACAACTCAAATAGCCGTAATCTCGACGAAAATAACGATAGCACAATGGTTCGAAAACCGTTTTAAAGAAATCTTTAAACGGTTGAAATCTTTACTTTCCAAGCACATTAAAGTTGTACTACCGATACTACCTTCCGCGCTGCTAAGGTACATCGAGTTAAATGAGTTAAATGAGAAGCGACTGTTTGATATTTAATCTTATTTTTTAGTCGAATTTTCATACTGGAAAATAATTTTTGCGTTTCGAAGAGGGAAATTTAAGCTTTTGATTCATTGCGTAGCGAACGTCGTGTGTACTACATTCGTGTGTTCGGCTGCTGTGAGTGCTCAAAGACAAAATGCCATTTTTAGTTCGAAGTTGAATAATTCCGCGAAAAAAATCGCTGTCTACTGTCTGCGTATTATGCGCAAATTAAAGAAAAAGAGATTTGCCCTCTCAAATTGTATAGATTTAATTTATATAATGCGATTGTTTGTTCAAGCTATACAATTCGACAAACTTTACGGAATATTTTGACTTTCGGCGAATTTCTATTTTCTATATTCATGTAACATTGTGAAAGTTAGCGAAATTTTATTTGAGGAATATATTTGAAAGCCATAAAGCGGACTTCTTGGACCATCTCCATAATAATAATAATAATATTATTTCCATACTATGACAATTACTCCCTTATTCTCCAGTATCATGATAAGAGATTTGTTTTTCATAAACCTGATCGTTCCCGCAGCCCTTCGCCGTCGTTGAAGCAGACGCAACTGGCAGTGCCTGGAGTGCAAGGTGTACCTGGCGTTACCGGCGACGAGGTGACGACGTCTGAAAGATGCACCAACCGGGAGGATTATGTATCCACCGGCTCGCTGGCAGGGAGTATAGCCAGTGCCAGCAGCGGTTTCGGCAGTCTTCCCAAAAAGAGACCCCCACTTTTCAGCTCCGGTAATCCTTCTCCGTTGCGTATTTTCTAATTGTAATACAAAATTGTACGTGTATGAAAAGTTTGTTGAATGATACGCGTTCGAGTAAGTGAAGAGAGAGAGAGAGAGAGAGAGAGAGAGAGAGAGAGAGAGAGAGAGAGAGAGAGAGAGAGCTGCTGTCAAGAGCTTTTGCTAGCTCTTGACAGCATGAAAATAATATAATAAAGTCAGTCGACGCCTGTATGCCCTCCAGAACTTCTCAGCGGAACGGAGACGTACGAACCGATGACCCTCAGCGAAATCGTACCGTCGGCAGTTCCGGTGGAGGCTCTGGTAGAGGCGCACACGGAGTCGGGGCATTCGCGCAACAGCAGCAACACCAGCCAACTTAGCAAAGGATCCGGCTACGGTTCTCTCAATTCACACAGCCAGCACAGCAGACAGAGCAGTAGCGGTGACAGTGGTCACATCAGGTAAGGCATGTCGCGCGCGCGTCTGACGTGTGACAGCACGCACGCGGTCTGCGAACGCACGGTCTCGAGATCTTCCGCGCCTACCTGCTGTACATGTGTAAACTAGTGGCTATTCAGGATGGTTTTTACCGCACCGAGGACCGAGCATCGAGACGTTGAAGTGTGCTGATGTGTGCGAGGACGCCCAGAAACGCGACTCGACTCAGCTCATTAACAAAGACGACTTGCAAGTTTCTCCGTTCGCGTTCGTACAGTTTTCATGTCATCGTGTCGTATATACGTCGAAGACTCGAGACATACTCCGATAGATTTTCAGACTACCAGACGCCACACCTTTGCGTTGGCGATAATATATTTCGGAGTTATCGCCGCACACCTTTGCGACAACAGCAGCGAGCACAAGTTAAGAAACGGAACGCGGCTACAACGATTGCGTCGCACATACTATCATCGCTATCGAACGATATCTAACGATAGAGATCGGACAACCTGTCCGTAATTTTGCCGCGAGAGAGAAACGACTAACTAACTCTTTCTCCTTCAAATATGCGCAACAACTTGCAATTTTGGCTTCTTTCTTTACGAAACATCTGAGCCATCTTGCTTCGGATATTGTCGAGACGCGAGAAGACGACACGTTGCTGAAAATTTCTCCTTAATCGCGGCGTTAGTCGTTAAGACGTTAAGATCGAGAGAGAATTTGCTGGTCGCCACGGGCGCACGTGTGTATCTTTCGGCAACTAACTCATCTCATTCCTGAACTAACAGCACCACGAGTCGAATTGTATTATCTAGCGATCTAAGTCTTCTGTTCTCCGAGGAGTCACGCTAACGAGAGAGCGAATGAATAACGCGAGAAAACCTTTTGTTTCTGCTCCAGCCTCAAGCGATCTCTTCATTCTCAGTCCCTCGACTGTAACTACGAGACTCTGGACTCTCTATCTTTTTTTTACTACTTTACGTACGTCTCCCTCTACTTTTATATATCTATCTTTCTATATATGAGTTTATGATTTTTGCATGCTTGTACATTTGTGTTGTGATCTTTATAGGTCACCCTCCTGGCCGGTATGGGCACCACGAATCCCGAACTCCTACCAGAATCCACCCGCACAACCGTTCGCCTGTCAAGCCGACCTCACCTCTGTCGAGCCTCTGTCGTCACACCCGTCCTTCGTGTCGCACATGGTCTCCAGAACTCGATTCTGGTCGACGTCGAGCCCGCTCTCCTCGCGTTGTCGTCCGAACGACGCGCTGAACTCGACGACGACGAGCGGCGGCGGCGGCGGCGGCGGCGTCGTCGTCGTCGCGGAGAACGTTCGCTCGATCGGGAATCAGCAAGAGCCACTTTGCGCTCGGAACGGCCTCTCGAGCGACGTTTCGCGACCGAGCGATCGCCGCGATCACCCCAACGACGAGTTGGTGGCCTCCACCTTGGTGGCGCCCGGTGTCTTCAGGGTGCCCGACGTGCCGCGACACGCGCGCAAGAATTACGAGAGAAACAGCTACGAGTCGCGTAACGAACGTAACGCGATCAACGAGCACGAGGCCAATGTCTCGGTCGGCTCGGTCGCAAAGACGCGAATCAATCATGCGGGCTGGCGCGGCATGTCTAAGACCTGCGACTGCATCGAGAAGGGCAAAACGAGTCCCGTTTTACGACTGATCGATCAGACCAGAGCCGTGTCCTCTCCCGATCCTCTCCATAGGCCCGACAATCAAAGAGCCTCGCTACGTTCCGCGACGACAGCCCAAACCCTCAGGTAGGTTTCATTTATCTGCGAGTTTTCGATTTTTCCGCGATTTTCCGCGAGAGATGTCGAGAGATTTCGAGAGCGTCTCGCTTTCTCGCTCTCATTCTCTCTTTCTCTCTCTCTCTCTCTCTCTCTCTCTCTCTCTCTCTCACACACACACTCATTCTCTTTCTCTTTCTCTCTCGTCCGTGGTTTCTACGTCTTTGTCATCCTCTCCTGTAACTCTCCATTTTACAATCCTCGAGAGACGATTTTACGCGTCGCAACACCTCGCTCCACCTTAACATCTTCCCGATTGACTATCGGTTCATCAGGGAGAAAATATTTCCCGCGCGAATGTTTATTGCGACGCAGTCTTGATTCCAGCAGGAGGTACGTTGCGTTTAATCCTCGCACCAAATTGTCATTACTCGAAGGTGAGGTCATCTCACTTATAAATCGTTAACGGCGATTACGGTACGGCTCGACATGCGTAATTGCTATTTCTATAACGCGTTGCGAGAGCCAGCGAATGCTCGAAAAAGCGATACCCCGGCGTTCTCTCCTTGTGTATGTGTGACACATCTTTAACCTTGAGGTCCGCCCTTATCCCGACTTATTGTTCGAGCTCGAGCTCGAGCCACGAGCTTTTCACTTTTGCCATGTGAATTCCTTCTCACCGATCTTGCGCTTTATCTACCATTCAACCGATCGCTTTCATTTGTGTATTTATTTCTTTGGTGTTTTGTTAGTTTTGATTTAACATTTTATGACTCTTTCGGGAGTAGAACGATGCTTGAGATTAATAAAACTGAGTGTGATTGTGATCTCTAACAGCGCGACGGTGATCGCGTAAAACGATCGCTTGCGTGTCGCCGACTCGCTTAATCTATCGCAAAATGTTAACGACGTATTTCCGATCTGCTGAATAATGTGGAATCGAAGAAATGTATGTTGTTAATGATAACTATCCTACCAAATGTACCGGTACGAACATTCTCTCTCTCTCTCTCTCTCTCTCTCTCTCTCTCTCTCTCTCTCTCTCTCTCTCTCTCTCTCTCTCTCTCTCTCTCCCTCTCCCTCTCCCTCCCTCCCCCTCTCCCTCTCCCTCTCTCTCCCCCTCTTCCTCCCCCTCCCCCCCCTCTCTCTCTCTCTCTCTCTCTCTCTCTCTCTCTCTCTCTCTCTCTCTCTCTCTCTCTCTCGTTCTCCATAATTCTATCTAAAAATTGCTGTATGGCGACCTTTAGGATATCGGCTTATGTGTCTCATCATCTCCGTTATTACATATTCGCAGATGTATCACGATGATGTACGAGATCCGTTGGAAGTGGACCCTTAACTGTTACGGTGAAAAGCCAATCTCAGAATCGCAAAATATCGGAGAAAAAAAAACAGAATTTTGAGAATCAATGAAAAATTAATGATGTACATTCTTAACTTATTCTAGCCAATTAATTGTATCTTTCAACCGTTATTTCTTCCTCTTTTAATACATCCCAACGCATTACAGATATATGCAAATGTAAAACGTGGAGGAGGGGGGAAGGGGGGTAGTTTGGATTCGATTGGATTCACGGGCAATTTTGTCGCGTCACTCGTATCGACCGTTCCAGCTAGGGGTCGGCTGTCTGCACATGTGCGCAAATCGACAAAATATACAACAGGGATAACGGCAAACGCGGCAGTTGTGCTTCCAGTTTGGATGGCTTTGTGAATCCTTGCAGGGGTATTGGCGGAGGTCACCGCAAGTTACTGGACGGGGCGGGGGGCAAGCTGGCTACGGTCGCCACCAGTCCAGCGGACTCGGAGGAGTCCTCGTTAGGGGTGCCGGAAGTCGCTCCGCCGAGCTCGCAGCATCGAAACAGCATTACCCCACCGTCAGTCCATGCTTTCGTCTTACGTACACCTTCTCCTCACGCATACGTCTCTCTTTTTCTCTCTCTCCTCCCCCCCCTCTCTCTCTCTCTCTCTCGCTCGCTCGCTCGCTCTCTCTCTCGCTCTCGCTCTCGCTTTTCTTCACCGCATCACCACGCAACAGAGCGGCTGGCATTCTCGCGATAGAAAAAGAACGCGCTCAACATATTAAAGCCACGTGCCGTGCAGGACGCAACGTCCAAGATATTTCACACGAGAGACTAGCAGGAAAATCATCGTTTGCCTTAATTGCGCGCGGCGGGATGAAAGTGCGACGTAGCGAACGGCTGACCGGCCGGAATTCCCGAGAACGAACGAACGAACCTTAATGAGGTCTAAGTGCTCTCCACGTTCTCGTTCTCGTTGCTGGCTGCACGGCGCCCTGGCGAGTTACGGAGGAAATCTAGTACTTTCATCGCGCGGTCGCGTTTAAGACGAGCGGTTTTGAATGTTGAGCGGTGTGAGTGAGAACGTTCACCGGTGGAAAGCGGTATCCCACACGCTGCACGCAACAGAGACGTTGTTACGTTGAAATTGCTGTACCGCTCCGGCCGAGACCAGTGGCAGGATCCGGCAGGAGCGACATTCTGCCGCTCTTCCTCTCGGACTCCTCGCTTCCTCGTCTCTGCTCGCCTTATCGTTTTAAAACTACGAGCGATTAACTCAACGAGCTCTCTCAAGCCTCTCTGCACGCTTATCGCGCATAAACGCATGCATTTGTCACGCATCAAGCACGCAATTCTCGCACGATTCACGAAATTTGCTCGACGATTCGCTTTTCGTGTGCACTCATGTTACATTTTCTCTCTTCTTCTTCTTCTTCTTCTTCTTCTTCTCCCTCCGAGGATATGTCTACGCGAATATCGGAACGACACGATGTCAGAGTAGTGAAGTTCATTTGGATGTGAGCAGCGTTATTTGCGTTGGTAAAATCCAAATGAACTTTGCTTCATCGCACGCTCTTTCTCTCGCTCTCGCTGTCCCTTTCATTTCGCTCAACTAATGTTCCTCTGTCTCTCTCTTTCTCTCTCTCTCTCTCTCAATCTCCACGCGTACGTTTAATCCTCTCGAACACGCACTCGACTCGCACGAGTCGTCTCCCTTGTTTACACATTGATTCTCACTATCCTTACACGACAAAGACACATTTATTCCCTCGTGTGTTTTTATCGGTCACTCATGTCGCACCGCGATGCTTCACCGTGTGATTTACTTATCGAATGAATACGTGTCGTGTACGTTCACCTCAATCCCGAGAGAAACTCCAACACACTGGCATGGAATTTGTTGCTCGAGAATATACTTGTATCTCTAATAACGCTATAACTATGCGGGGAAGTGAGTAAAACTGAAGTGAAATTGAATTAAAACGAGAGAATCCCACGAGATAAGGAAACGAAAAATCATCTCTCGATCATTTCGTCTTTAATTACGCTGAATAAAATCACAAATCGACAAGTTGCGATTACATCTTACATGTATTTGCACCGCGATCAGAGTTGCAAGAAAAAAATCGATCGTTGCGGTAATTATTCGAGGTTTATTCGTTGGCTTTATCACTCGGTCGTTGATCCGAGGCTTTCGTAATCTCTTTCGATCTCACCGGATAGTAGCTATAGAAATCGGTACTTTGTTTCTCACTTTCTATGCCAGTGCTCGGTCCGACACAACGGTTCCAAAACAAAGAAGCACGAAGAAAATGTGTGTGTGTGTGTGTGTGTGTAATCTGTGCGTTCTTCCCGTAGAAATCCTTCCGGCGGTTCGGGTCTCAGCGAAACCGGATCCCTGGACCGAGCCAAGGCCGCATTAGAGCGTAGGAAAAAAGCGGAGGACGGCACTGGTAATCCTGTCCTCTGCAGAGTCGAGGTCACCAGGCCGAACCCTGATTCTCTTATCGACGAGCTGCTCAAAGCAACGAATCTGGAACAGACGGATCTCGAAAGTTCCGAGAGTGAGTCTCTGTTCAGAAAGATCTCTATAGTTCAGAGTTGAAAGCGGAATTAGCGGAAAAGTTGAATCAGTATACAAATAAAGGAGATATCAGCTTCGCACGCGCGATTAAACAATAATACATGTTTTGCAGCAACTGGCCTTCAACTGTTCATCGCGAAAGACGGCACGACCGCGCTCGGCAGCCATGAGGTCAAGAGTCAAATGCCCGGTGTGTTCAAGCAGGTGGTGATGGAAGAGAACAACAGGTAACACGAAGCCATCACGTCGAGACGGCAGTACGCAAGACAAACCGGCGCCACGTTCTCGTTGGCCCTGGTGCCAGAGCTCGTCTACGAAGCCTGCGAGCCCCGGTAGTCACGAAGGAGAACGACGATAATGACGACGATGACGACGACGACGACGACGACGACGACGACGACGACGACGAGTTGGACGAGGGAATCGCCGACCGAGGAGAGGGGAGCGGCTAAACGCGAAGAAAATCGCGCGCCCATATTCTCATTATAGATCGTTTAAATCATAGCTCTCCTCCGTATGCGACGGCGGCTCGGCGACCGATGTCCGTTTCAAAGCGAAACGCTCGAGCATCAGCAAGGCTCGAGAGGAGCCGAAGGAGAATCCCGAAATTAGCGAACGCGAAATCGGCACGCGGCGCCCCTGCTACCCGCTACGCTAAGACAGATAATAATCTCCGTCTGTTAAGGTGACGTCGACGTGCAAGCGCAGGCGCACGCTATCGCGAAGCTAACTCAAAAAGTGAAAAGCAAATATACATATTTTCTTCCCTGCAAACGAAGCACACAATAATTCTCGTCGAGCGTGCTTCACTTGAGAGGAGCGTTAGTCAATAAAAGTTTAACTGAGGAGGGAAGTACAGCTTAGTACACACAGGGAGTATATAGGATTACGCGAGAGGATAATAACAGCGAGACGAAACACACTCAAGGTCCGCGGAAACCTTGCAATGGAGAATAATGTCGAGCGAAACTTAAGCGCCAACTTTATTTATAGCAATACGGCGACGATACCTTACATTGACGCGTAACCGCAGAGCGAACTGAGAGGTCGGCACGAAGACGGATATTAAATTGAGATATTACGTACTATAGTTTCATATGAAAGTACCTTTGGACACACAGAGAGCGAAAGGGAGAAGGCATTTCCAACGATATATCCCCAGCAGAACGAGAATAAGTCGCGATGAGACTTATTCTATAATACCGTAATTTCGATTTTATACTGCAATTTTACACTCTTTGTGAACTGACATAGCAGATATTTTCTTTTCTTCTTCTTTCTTCTCGATACACCTTTTGTGCTCCTTGTGCTCCTTCATCGACTAATCTCTATAGACTTGGAAAAAATGTTAAGTTAAAAGTTGAAGGATAAGTATATATATATATATATATATATATACACATAACATCTGTATTCTCTCTCTCTGTCTCTCTCCCTCCCTCCCTCTCTCTCTCTCTCTCTCTCCCTCCCTCCCTCCCTCCCTCCCGCCCTCCCTCTCTCAATCTCAATCTCACTATTTCACTCATTACCTGAATACATTTCCGCTCCAAAAGAGATACTCTTCACTTGAAAAATCGCACAGCTTTTATGCTTCCCGAGCGATTGCAACTCTTAGACTTGAAGTACTTCCAAAATCAGCCGAGATTCGATTCTTATGAAAGGCGAGTATGGAAACGTTCTTCTTAATGTACAAAACCGCGTTCTCTGTAAAGTGCGATATAAATGTTTCACGACTGAATAGTTTATGTAGCATTATTTTACTATCGTTATATAACGAGCTCGACGGAGACATCGGTCCTCGTTTCGTCGAACCTTCTCCAAAGGTCACAGCCAAACTTTTCGATCGGCGCGACCCGGCTATCCCGATAGTAATCTGTATATATAGCTGTAGTATCTGTTACGTAGCTAAATCGCTGGTGTTGTATACATACCTTCTCTCCGTAAACGAGTAATCTGTAACTGCTAGTGTACGTTGTGCCGATGTATCAAAAAGTATGTGAACATGCGCGTGTACGTATGCGTGCGGTACGGATGCGTGGGTCTCCGAATACCTGGAAAAAAAAAAAAAAAAAAAGAAAAAGAAAGAAAGAGTATCGTTAGTAACGCGTGCTTAGGTGTGCCTGAATCGTCGCAGAGTAGCGAATACTTCCAATGTCCGCGAGGTCTGTTCCGAGAGAAAGAGAGAGAGAGAGAGAGAGAGAGAGAGAGAGAGAGAAAGGGGGGAGAGGAGAGAGAGAGAGAGAGAGAGAGAGAGAAAGGGGGGAGAGGAGAGAGAGAGAGAGAGAGAGAGAAAAGTAGTTTAGGAGCTGCGACTCCTCGCAGAAGAAAAAGAGCGTATAAAGTGATGAAATTGCGTGCACAAACGAACGCTTCCACGGAGCACTTGAAAATAACTCGCCGATACTCGGTCTTTCCAACCGATCCAAACATGCTTGCTTGGCGCAGGGCAGCGCCTATTCTGACTCTTCCTCTCTGTCTTTCTCTTTCTCTCCTCCCCCACCTTCCCTTATCTCTTCTTTCTCTTTCTCCCAAGAACCTTCGAAAAATACGGTTTCTCCGTCGGACGATCCTGCCTTCGACGATCGACCGTTAATTATGTTAAACTGGTATACTGGACGATAGAGGTGATAATAATCGCCGATGTTCAGATGATGGATGTATTCGAGCGCAAATCACACATTTGATGAGAGACAGGCATCATGCTGTACATTTCCGTAAATAGATCGATACGTTCCTTCTCGTTGCGTTTCCCTTTCCTCTTCTGCGTGCATACGTTTCTTCTCCTAGCGAGGAATAAACTCTCAATAATGCTCTATTCCGATCTTGATACACGTGTCCACAAATATCTTCAAAACGAGTGATGAATCAAAAGAAATATTCAACAAAAGCCGATATTTTCGCTCGTACGTCAGCTGTTGAGAGAGCAGAGAGCAGTATCGGATAACGTATCTGTTATTTCACTGCACAACTGCAACAGTGGTGCAGTGCATCAAAGTGCATCAAGGTCGGAGATAGAGGTGACCGCTGCTGTCGAGATTTCTCGTTAGGTAACGTCCGAGTACCGTTCGATACCACTCTCAATTTTATAAGACTACGATTTACATCGTGTCGCTTGCGAGACCCGTCGCAACAACCGACTTCCGAATCAACTCTCGACTGCTGTAATCAGATCGATCGAATCCGATCCCGAGTCATGTCTACCACCCGATAAAGTAAGAAAAGAGATGCGTTCTACCACAGAAAGAAAGAAAGAAAGAAAGAAAGAAAGGAAGAAAGAAAGAAAGAAAGAAAGGAAGGAAGAAAGAAAGAAAGAAAGAAAGACTTGCTCGATATGGTAGCTAACATCTTGAGAGAAAAAAAAAAAACACATTTTTCTCTCACTCGCAAACTTTGCGATTATTTTGAAAAAAAGCGCGGAGCGTTATGAGCGTTATTACAATTATCAATATTTTCTTTTGTTTATCTTCTGTCAATTTATCGGTACTAAAAATAAATAAATATCGATTCGAGTCCTATTAGCTCCTTTGTACAGATTCAACAACGACAGTCGTGAGTTGAAACGCGAGTTGATCCGTAAGCTTCCTCGTGTGGACATGTGTGAGAGCTATTTTTTTCATTCGAGACACGCGGTGTGTGCAGCCCTTTTATTTATAAGATACGTTGCGACAGCAGCAGGAGTCACGACTTCGCCGTAACGGAGAACGACGCGCCGCTGATTCGCTGATTGACGTTGATTAATTTATTTAAACAAAACTCTCACGGTGAGTGACTTCGCGCGCGCGGGTATACATATACCCCCCGAATGGGACACAAATGACTCCTCATTTTTGTACATCGCCACGTCAAGAAACACAGTGGCATAGATTATCCTTTCGTTGCCACGGTGGCGGAGGTCAGAATCGCAACAGAATTCACGATGATGCGCTCGCGCCCGCTCGCCGATACAAAAGCGAAGAGAGGCAAAAAAGGAAAGAAGATAAAAAAGAAAGAAAGAAAGAAAAACCACACGTTTGCCGGAAAAAATGGCGGTCATTGCGTTTTGCCCAGCAGATATTAATGTTGTGATATTTTATGATATTGTAACGATAAATACCGTTATTACCTGTATTTATCGATTGTATTGTAACGAAACGACTTTTACTTTCATTCGCGAAGGTGGCAGCCGCTGGTCACGCCGCGTCACGCTGGCGCCGCCCTTCCTGATTTACACAATTGTTGATATTTCGTCTAATCTTTACTTTGTCAGATGATTATGAAACTTCCATGTGCTGATAATATAACATCATTGAAAACCACGTTGGCGTTTGATCATTCGCAAAAATGTCCCTGTCCTACTTATCGCGCATTGTACCATTGTACCAATCGCGTCTTGCGTCTTGCGTCTTTGCTGCATGACGTCTTGACGGTATTTAAAGTGTAATTCTATTTTAAAATGTAATACAAGTGACACGGCATGTGTCATCTAGTCGCGCAATGTAATTGAGCTCGAGAAAGAGACTGATGAGAGAGAAAAAAACTCTGTATCTCCAAACACGACGACGACGACGACGACGTACAGTCGTACAATCATTGAGAATCATTATCGCCGAGCTATATTGCGCTATATTGCGCGCGGCGCGCACCGGGACATAATCGATCGGAAGAACACGATGGTCTATCAGGAATCAGGAATCAGGAAGCACACAGGTATTATACTTTCTCTACGGTGGACAGATCCGCGCGCATTGACGTAACACATCTGTCGCGGGAGATACCGATACGTGTTATATTACGCGCTCGTTATGCGAGCGCTTTCACGATGCAATCGACAGGCGCTTACGTCGCCAAAAAAATGAATACAATTTAGCTTCTTGCGAGTAACAAACCCCGATCATCCCGATTGGACGAAAACGGGTTTTCGGTGAAAGGCACGCCGCCGCGCTCGTTCTCGTTATTTTTTAACGCTTCCGGGATTCACAAGCGATAGTTCTCCGTAACGAACGCACGCACGGATTTTTATTTTCGCGTTTTGTCACGGTTTTGTTTCACATTGTTTGTGTCACGGATATCAAGGCCGCAATAATATAGCGCAGTTGTAAAAGTTTCATATAAGAATTATATTATATATTATATATGTTATTCGCTCAAAAATTTATGTATCCATAAGTCGAAAGTAGAAAATTTATGCATATTTTGTGTGCCTAACGGAACCATTCCAATATCCTGGAAATTATCGATACATCGTTAAAGATACTTAAGATTATGTACAACCATTCTCAGAATCTATGAATGAACGTGTTTGCGCAGCTAAATAGCTACATGATAGTAAGGGAACGAGATTATTACGTCATTGGACGTAATTTAATATTATTACGTAGATGTAACAATGTCGTTCCTCCACAGACCTCTCTATTTACGTTGACGTAATATGTGACGCGATTAAACGTCACATTGAGCATTCGAGTACATTCGAAGAGTAACAATAATGACAGAATATCTGCCAGCAAGATTACCATTGGCAATTCGTCATTGGCAATTGCGTATCGTTATAAAGAGCTTGAGAGAATATTTTTATTATTATAAAATGAAGACATTTTTCGAAAGTAATCCAGACAGCACAATGTCCGAAACTGGAACATAAGACGTCTTTCAGACATCTTAAAGACATCTAGACGTCTAGACATCTTAAAGACATCTTACGTCTAGACATCTTAAAGAGAGACGTCTGAAAGAAAGGCGTTTTATGTCCCGGTTTTGGACACTAGTCCAGCGTCTGGGTAAGAACGTATGAGGAAAGAGGATCTAAAAAATAATTTTCTTTTTACTTTTTATACATATACATATACATATATATACATACGATCTCATACTAAATAACAATACCGCTGTAATATTATTAAAGCAATTTGTCATATTTCTTTTATTGTAGTTTATTTAGCAGATATAGAAGCTGATATAGATTCAAGTTGCGTTTTCTCCAACGTAGAGTGCAGAGTATGTAAAAGCGGTAACAGACGAGATAACCTTGTATAAGAAGAACGAAAAAAGCAGGTGTACGGGTAAGTGAAGTTTCGTTACGTAAGAAGGAACTTATTGCACAGATAGCAAGAAAACATGGTTTACGCACTCGATTACATGACCAGAAGTCAGCGTTTTGCCGCCACTTATCGACCTAGTGACCGCTGTCTGAGGCGTGTTTGAGAGTCACACGAGCTTATGTGCGCATGCATGTTCTATTCTCGTTATTTACTTTCGAGAGATTTTACGCAGCTCCTTTTACGCAACAACGTTTTTTCGTTTAACTCTTTAGAGAATATATACCGCACTTGGAATACTGCATTCGCGCGTCAACTCAAATATCTTGAAAGTCGGGAGAAAAGATATGTATCTATCGCGTTGATGAACGCGATTAGAGGAGGGCGATGTGTAGGGCGCAGATGCGAGACGCACGCTGAAGACACGCTGAAAAATGGCTAAAACGGGGGACACGTATTTTCGTTTTCTCCAGCAAGTCTTCTCGATTCAGTTACTCCCGTTGGACTCGACGTCAACAAGCGTACACGTCGGAGAGCAGCAAATGATACCTCGTACACAAATGACGTGGTGGGGTCTCGTTGCGTCTCGGGACGTCGTTGAGGACATCAACGACGAGGATGCCTCGCGCTTTCCACTTCAAGTCTGCGTTCTTGTATTGGCCAGTCCTTCCCCAGTCGTCGAATCTCGCTGATCATTACGCTCCATTATTGTGCAAAACCAAAGGGAGTAACCGCAAACGAGTAATCCCAAATGTTGCGCTAACACACGTTTGCACGGAGACGTAGTTCACCGGCGAGAATAACGAACAGTCCGAAGGAGCGTTTCCTCAGCTTCGGCAGGTCTTGCCGTCGCGTCGCCGTTCCGCGCGCAACACGGCGTTTCTCTCCGCCTGCGATTTCCTGCGAGGAAGAAGAGTCTCGATTGCTTGTACATGTACAAACGAAGATAAAAAATATGCGCCTCGCTCTCTTCCGTAACTCGAAAGACTGATTTTACGGAGTCGGTGTCGGTGTTTGCGAGCTTGAGCTTGAGCTTGAGCGACGGGGTCACAAAAGTAAAAGTGTTCTCTCTCTGTCTCTCTCTCTCTCTCTCTCTCTCTCTCTCTCTCTCTCTCTCTCTCGCTCTCCGACTATACACCCATCAGCCGCGTCATGTCGCATTGGCAATTTTTGTTTCTCTCGTGCATCCGTGTGATATTTTTCGCGTCACTTTGTGCCGCCGAGACATCTAACGAGATCATCACGATCACGACCAATCGTCTCCTGCCCGCCTACACCATCGCCACGAGAGCTGACTTGCTCAACAACTTGACGACGTGCAGAGAGGAACTGCGAGACTTCCGAAACGCCGTCGACCATCGGATACTATGGGGTCTGAAAAGTTAGTAAATTTCACCGCGACGACATTCGAATCGAATTAAATCGAGGAAAAAGCGAGAATGATGAACGTTCAAATACAAAACTTAGTGCCGCACACAGTGCGGCGTAAGTTTTTGTATTTGAACGTTCATCATAGTCGTAAAAATTACTTTTCTCGTTGATTCTTGACATGTTCACCATTCGTGTGTGCGCGCACACACACACACATTACACACAAAACACTAGAGACAGCAACTCGCTGTAAGTTACAATGAAACGCAAAAAGTGTCTAGTGGTGTCTATTAAATTGCCAACATGTTGCGGCAATATGCTCTCACTCCTACGAAAACGCCGGCCGCAACTGTTTCACAGCGTTGAGTCGCATTCCGAACGTGATTCGGTCATTTATTATGCAACGCTCATTCTGCACAAGTGCATTATCGCGATTGTGTCAGATGCGATTGTGTGTGTGTGTGTGTGCTTTTTCGTTCGTAGGCCAGCTCGCCGAATCGACTTTCTTCGCGTTACACAAGAAACTAGTTTCCCAGCTATATCACCAAGGAAAAGTGTCCGTTGAGCACCGTGCACCGTGCGCGATTTTCTCTCATTTCGTCTCGAGGACCCTGTGTCGCGCGGATTGAAACACGCGCCACATAACGGCAGTGTGTCTGTTATATTGCCGTTTAAACGCCATACATTAACTCGGCACACAGTCTTAAATACGTACGATTTACATGTCCTCGTAAAATATTGCCGCGTACACGCGGGAATATATGTCGGTTGTATCTCGCTATTATATTCTCGCATTATTCTATGAGGCAAAATATCCCCCCCCCTCTCTCTCTCTCTCTCTTTCTCTCTTATAATAACGATCATCTGTTTCTTACTTCAAAGTACTAGATTCTAGCGGCGCGCCTAAACCGGGTTTTCTCTACGGAAATAATTTTTGGCTGGGCAGCCGTAAGCAATGTCAAGACGCAACAAATACGAATTCTCTGAGTCTGTCGGAACGTGAAGTACTGAATAACACGCTGTACCGCAACCCGCAAGAGGAATACTCGCCCTTCCAAGTAAATTACTTCGTTGCTCATTTCAGACACAACAGTACCCTTCAGTACCACATTAAATTACCCAACGAAGTAAGTAAACGCGTTAGATATTGTGAATTTCGTATATATAATAAACACGCACAGTCAAAGATGACAAATGCAAATAATCATCGACGTGCACATCCACGTTCCTATCGGAATTCGTCCAATTCGCTGGATTTACGATGGGTTTAGTTTTCTAATTTTCACTTTACATTCGAGTTGCGACAACGATGTGCGTTTGCCAATCCTAAATTGTCTCTATTCGCTGCAACTTTCTAAATCAAAAATTCTACAAACACCTCGAAATCAGACTAAGGAAAACATGATGATTAAGGTAGACCGCTAATCAACGTCGACATTATAACCGGAATTTGTTCTACGTAATTTAATCCATGGAGCCGCCTTATATAATGAAGTGAAGTGATACCGTAAATTATAAAAAGAGAAAGCTGTACACGAAAGTTGGGGCATTGCTTAACCCTTTGTTGCACAAATTCTTTTGCTAAATATATTTTGCTTAAATTTGGCACATATATATACAGGTTTTTATGAGGATGCTAATTGCTAAAAGTCAGAGTCTAAAATATCAAAATTTCGCGGATTTCATCAATGTGGCAACCAAATTGAAGAAAAAAAAGAAAAATACATATACACATATACGGAACAATATACAACAAAGGGTTAATGGGGAGCCAAATTAAACACAAACTTGTGGGAGACGCGCGCGAGTCTTTCTTTTTGCATGATGCATGCGGAAAAAAAGTGCCTGAGACACGGGAATCGTCGCGCGTAGTATGCGCGTAGACACCGACAAGAGAATTCGCTCAAGAGAACAATGTCTCGTTTTGAAATTTCAATTTTATTAGGACTTGATTACCCTCGGCCTCTGTTTACCGGCATCCTGCTCTACGAACGATCTAAGCTTCATTTTGGAAGGAATATTTCGCGACAGAACTCTCTTAATCGGTGACTTTTACTCGGCGGACTTTAAGCTGCTTGAAGTCAAAGATCTGCAAAACGATTATCAATGGTTATTCAGTGGCGAAGTACTTTTCATCGGGTATGTGTAAGATGTGTATACATACGCACGCGCGCGTGCGCAATGTAAAGTTAATTTTCTGGTTGCAGCTTTACCTTAGCGCTCACTTGGATCTTGATGATAATCGGAACGATATACGATATCTTCGTGCATCAAAAATCCTTGAAAATTCAAAATCTCCTTCGTTCGTGTGACGAGAATACAGCTCGTAAGTATTGCGTCCGAGTCTGCGCACCTTCCGCTCTTCCTGCGCGACTCAACAAAACAAAAGTGCGCGCACGCACACTTCTCACATACAAGGAACTTTAAGGCTTTCATTTCTCTCTTTTTCTCTCTCTCTCTCTCTCTCTCTCTCTCTCTCTCTCTCTCTCTCTCTCTCGTCAGTGCCGCTAAAAATACCGGACGATTATGACGCGAGCAATTCGAAAGATGCGTCGGAAAACACGTCGGAAATGACCGACTCGTTTCTACGCAAAGAGAACAATATCGAGCAAATGCTCATGTGCTTCTCCGTTTACACAAACACGGGAATTGTATTCAACACCAAACTGGACGCCAACTCGTTACCCGTGATTCACGGCTTGAGATTTCTAAGCATGGTTTGGGTGATCATGGGCCATACCATTTTTTACATGATAGACTATTTCGGCAAGTAAATAAGATTTTCCAATCCGTGTTCTCATACAAGCGTATACGTATTTTTCTACGTCTAACGAGATTCATTTCGTAGACAATAAAGCAACGGCTATAAGGATGAGCGACAGTATCGCCAGTCAAGTGATCAGTAATGCATCATTGGTGGTCGACACTTACTTTTTCCTGAGCGGATTTCTACTGACTTATATGTATTTGATTAAGTCGATGGGAAGGACACAGACCAAGCCGATTAATTACACGGCGAAGCTGAACGAGTTCTTTGTCGCGGTAATGAGCAGATTTATCCGGTACGTTACGTTATCGTTATCGTTACCGTTATCGACTTGCCCGGACGATAAAGCCCGTACATAGCGGTAGTAAGCAAAACGAGAGAAATTTCAGCGTTACCTCTGCTCAATGCTGAACGTTTCTCTCGTGCGTCTCTTCACGTCTAAACATTTGTTACTCTTTTAAGGATAACACCGTCCTACATGATAACGATGGGAATAGTATACTTGAATTCATCCTGGTACAGCAGGACCTCGCAATTTTACATGAACGAAAGGCCGCACGAAACATGCGCCAAATATTGGTGGAGGAATCTATTGTACATAAATAATCTGTTCGATCGCGCTTCGATGGTACGAACGTTGTTTGGGCTCAAACAACTTTAAATTCATTACATTCACGCGCGCGCAACGTTTTTATATCACCTTTTTATTTTCCCTTTTTACCTTTGCAGTGCATGTCTTGGAGTTGGTATCTTTCCAATGATATGCAATTCTTCGTAATCGGCTTGATCCTACTGATCCTGTCGACTGTGTAAGTTGACCGACTGATCTGCGTTGTGATTGTATCTAACGCGTGTAGTTCGTACGAATAAATTCAACAAATATGCACAACATGTGTGAGTTTCAGGTACTTTTACACGGCGGTCGTCATACTATGTACACTTCTGATAGGCACGATCGTACTCACCGGTTATATCTCATACGTTAACGAATACGTCCCGACGTAAGTTTGGGAGCAGTGTCTTTAAGTGTGTTCATGGCGGAGTGTCGATTAAATGAACGTGCCTTTTGTCGTTCGCAGGCTGGACGAGCAGTATAGATTCATGGACCTTCTGTACGACCGACCGTGGGTCAGAATAGGTCCCTATCTCGTCGGGATGATCGCGGCTTACATTCTGCTAAAAATGGGCAAAAAATTGACCTTGAAGAGGGTAAAGTATAATTGACACTCTGTCGAAAACTCGACGCGAAGAAAATCAACGAAGAATCCAAGTCGCTACCTTAAAATTCACATAAATTCCAGACAACTGTAATTTTGTGCTGGTGCTTTGGTAGCGCTTGCAACGTTTTCGTATTATTCGGTCTTTACCAACGACACATATCCGTCGTCGTCGCTTCCTTTTACGTTGCGTTCAGCAGAACAGTCTGGGCGATAGGTCTGGCATGGATCTTAATAGCGTGCTACACCAAACACGGAGGTCAGGTTACTCTATACAGATAATGCTATGTTAAATTCGCTTCTCTCTCTCTCTCTCTCTCTCTCTCTTTCTCTATTCCGTTTCGATTTTGATACTCTCTTGTCTTCAACAAGCTTGATCATCGGCTGTAAGTCACTTGGAAGAATGTTCTAATATTCAAACGCTCGTTACAGGCATAGTCAACCGGTTTTTGTCGTTCAAGTGCTGGATCCCTTTCAGTAGGCTCACTTATTGCGCGTATCTGTTAAATCCTTTCATCGTAAGCTCGATTTACTTGTACGGAGAATCGGTCGGCCATGTAGACATCCTGTCGCTGGTGAGTCGGTGGTGGAATCCGCGAAATCTCCAAATCCTCAATCTTAATTCGAGAGATCAGCGCACTGTATGTATGTTGTAATTCTCTTTTCAGATTACCATATTTCTCGGCAACTTTGTAAGCACTTACTGTACCGCTTATGTGCTGTCTTTAATGTCGGAGACGCCGTATATATTGCTAATACGGAGGTTCACTCAGCCCCGCAACGTAAGGCAGAAAGATGAGAAATTCCGCAAACGTGATCGCAACAGCAACACCACAACATATTGACACACTAGCTTAATTACACTCGATTTAAGTTTAATCGATTCTCCCCGCCTGAAGAATCGCATCTCCGTGTCTTAAAATAAAACTGGTTTTGTACGGTGATACGCTCGTATTCCACACATCGCATACCTAATATGTTTGTAGCAAGATTGCGCTCAATCCCGATGAAACGTATCCAATCGGGACGATAAGTCTGTATCGGCGTTATATAATCGTAATATATTGTCGCAATTACGTGGAAGGAATATTACGAGGTATATGCCGGTTATGATTGAGTGGACTATAAAAAAAAAACGCTCATGAATTTGCGCATGAATTTATCGAATGCGCGTATTGTACATAAGCATCCACATGCGGATTTCAGTCGATCAAACATCTTGTACTGGCTCGAAGGAGTGGGTCAAGTTTACAGCTCATTTACAAAACTACAAATCGTCGTCAGATGGTCTGGCGTCCTTCGGCGCTATGAGTGAACCGGGGAATGTATCCTCGGTGGCGCCGGCGAAGTTAAAGATCGATTCGCTCGCAAAGCTTGTTCGCGCCGACCCTCTTCCAATTGTTTCTCGAGTTGCTCTTTCAAGACTAGAAGCTCCCTCGTTCTTTGATAGACGGGGTCCTAGAGACAGACAAACATGTCTTTCTCAAAGACATTAAACTCGTAAATCATGCTCTCAACGTCAACGTCAGTTTAGACAGTTCTGCGTACCTGCTGCCGCATGCTAGGATTCCATCTGCAGTAAAGGCTCTTCCATGGTTTGATGTAACGCATACTGGCGATTGGCATTAGGACAAGCTGATAATTTGGACCTGATCGATACAGAGGATTCAGGTAAAGAGGTAGTTGACTGTTGGTATACGACCATAGAGAGACCGTTCTCTGTTTCACTTGCTCTTGCATTCTCTCGCGTTCACTGTAAACGATAATCTTAAGACTCGTGCGCTTCACACTTGTATTCGCGTGAACACAGGGCGAACATCGGCCTCTATATGCGTGCGTACCTGCTGAACAAAAACGTGCCAAATCTGCAAGAGTAGAGATGATCAAGAATGGTGATTAGGAAGTGTTCGTTGAACTCGAAAGCGTTAGGGAATTGCCGGGTTATCTGCCAAACGCAGTCGATAAATTGTAAAAACACCGGCGATCTGTCCGCATCGCTGTGATGTTCATCTCCATGGCCTATCCTCTGACAAAAAGGAGAAATTAGAATGATAAGTTAGAAAGCGTCTCGCATAACGCATTACTTACTGTACGACTCGGATAAAATTTTAGATGAGGGTACCTGTTGAAACTTGTGTCCAAAACTGAGCCATTCTTTTTCTATCAGAACCTCGAATCCCTTGACCGTTCTATAGTACGGGTCTAACATTAGCATTGCGAGGGCTGTGAGCTAAATGGGACGATAGACATGTAACAAGTGCAAATTTAAGAACGACATCGTTTCAAAGAATAAAGAAGAACGACTATATATTAGAGAGATGTGCGAATCAAGAATTTTTATGTCGAATCGAATCGAATCAAATCTCATTTTTTAAATTCGAATTCGAATCGAATCGAATCTGTGAAACTTCATTCGAATTCGAGTCAAATCGAATCGAACCATTAAAAAATTTAACATGAATATCAAACGTGCAAATAATGATGGAAGATTTTAATTTGAAAGGGAATATTAATATTGTAATATTATCTTAAAATAAAATATATATTTAAATATTCATAGTAATTTATAATTAAGTTATTAATTATTAGTTAGGTTAATTACGGTAATTAAACATTATTAATTAATAATTAATTAAAAATAAGTTAAGGGTTCTAATATATACGAGCCCAGATGGCCCGTTTTATAACTGATACGCACAAACGCTAATATATTTGATTCGTATTCGAATCTTCGCGATTCGAGATTTTCGAATTATTCGGATTCGAGTCATAGGGATTCGGATTCGAATCGAATCGAATTACATTAAATTCGATTCGATTCGAGTTCGAATAGTTCGCACATCTCTACTATATATATATATATATTACCTGCGCCGTTCGGTCCCAGCCGTCGGAGCAGTGAACTAAAACGGAGGTCTTATGATTCTCCACTTTGTCCACGATTCTCACAGCTCCAGCGAGAACACATTTGATATGTTTAAGCCACATTGTCGATTCTATTCCCGATAACCATCGAGCCTCGTCGATTGTAGGGAAACATAATTCTGAAAGAAAAGACGTTGGATGTTGGCACAGAAGATAGCACAATCAGTGGAACTTTGTTTGTTCGGCAACAAAGTCGCTCGTCTCCGCAATACCCTTTAATTTCCTAAGACTCTCCCTCATGACGTGGATATTGTGAATATCGAGAAAAACCAACTCCGCGTTCTGATAAGCATCTTCGCTCTCGTATCCGCCACCTTTCGCTTTGTTCGCTATGGCATTTGGCATCGGCCGAGCATCCATGATAAAAAGCTTGTGACTCTGCGCGTTTGCGTCCATTATGAGCTGGACGTACCTTTCGTCTTCGCGACTTCGCTTACCCCCGACACCCACTAGTGGCTGAGCGCAGCGAGTTATCGTCGCTTGACTCTCCGGATGAATCCAAGAGAGCACCGGAAGTCTACCTCTACTCCTAAATCCCGCGGATGCTTGAAGATCCTCGTCAGTCGCTGCGGCAGGTACAGCCCAGACTGCCGGATAACTGTCGCAGAGCGAATACGTGTCGTTGATTTTCGATATTTTCCACATGTCATTATTTACACCCTGTAAGGAAATGCAAGAGACTGATGACAATGATATCAACTTTTAAAGCAAATCACACACCCGCAACGACAGAAGATTGCAGAAATTAAAATATCACGTTTATATTTCAGCCACATATATACATATGTGTGTATATATATATATATATATATATATATATATATGATACTTGTAAAAACAGTCCTCAGACTTTCTAAATCGCCTGTCACGTTCTTCCTACACCTATTACTACATACCATTCTTTTCAGCTCTGCGATAGGCTCGTAAACGTTCCAACCATTTTCGGAGAAAGTCTCGGAATATTCGAAGGCAAATAGAGGTAACTTATGTGACAGTGGAAAGGAATACTGTTGCAGCTTCTCAAAAACGTCTCGTCTGGAATGATTCTCCTGCTTGTGAGCAAATCTGAGATTCCTCATATCTTTACAAAACACCTCGATTCCGTAAGAGTTCTCTCCCCTACTAGACGCACCGCCGACCTTTTCGATTCGGCTAACGACACCCAACGGCACTTCAACCACATAAGGCGTTTCTCGATCTATACTACGGAAATGGAGTTTGTAATTTGTGACACTAAGGATTCCTCTGGCGGGACCCGAGTAAGGACACAAGTAGGTAACTTCGTGCGCGATGCCTTGCACTCGTTCTCCGTTCAAGAGTGGTGGTCCCGTGTCCCCTCCAGACAAATTCTGATCAAAATAACGGAATAACTGACTAGCTACAAACATCATGCGACGAAATAGAGTTATTCTAGCGCAACCTCAACAGAATGTGGATGATACATGTGCGACAAATGTGTCGCAAAGTAAAAGTGACACGATAGATAATAGAAAATATTTTCACCGGACAAAATATCATACTCTGATAGAACTGAATCCTATCAAACAATATCTGCATAAATGAAGGATGCCGTCACAATTGCAAAAGAATTGCGTAAAAACAGAAACTCTGGACTACACTCGAAAATTTGCTACAGACTCACTTTTACTTGGTTATCTCTTTTAGCCTCCAAAGTAGAGACTATGTTATTATCTGTTGAAGTAGAAGTTGAAGAAAAACTTTTGGAATGTGACGCTTTCTCCCAGCTCTCCTAAAGAAGGTCTATTTGAAGTTTGACTCATAAAAAGATATACCGACTGATTTAACTTCAAATTGAATAAATACTTGCTCTTACCGATTCCTGACCCATTTTTGAGTTGAGCGAACTGCTTTTGCTGTCCGAGTTGAGCGAATCTGAGCTGGCATTCTTAGAATTGTTCTGCTCCACACTAAGAAGTTCCGCACTGCCTCTCTTTTCCATAGTTGCATTAAGGATAGTCTCGGGTGCTTCTACTTTTGTCGTAACGGCATTCTTGTGTTTACCAACATTGGATTAGCCTCTGTGGACCTGTAGACAACTAGTTACATTCTGAAATGCGTAAACACAAATTTGCAGACAGTGACGTAAACTAAGTCGCGAGCGTCGACACTTTGTTTGCCAAGCGTTTGACAAATGTCAAAAACTAAAAATTCTATTCTTTAAATTAGACATTAAATTAGATCAATTGCTTGCGTATTCTCAAGCATATCTGTAACAGTAAATGTTTAACCATATTCCACGCGTCTCCAAGCCCAATCTCTCGCGACATAACCTCAAGACGTAACCGCAAGGTACATGCGAGATCAGAATAATACAAAAATTTCTACAAGCGCAGATTAAAGACAAGATTAGATAGCTGCTATACGTGATACAAGAGCGCATATGTCACAGAATTTTATAAAAAATTTCAGATAAAAGAAGAGACCGATGCGAGTAGAATTGACAGCGATTCGTGCCGCGCCACGCCCACAGACGTACAAGTCACTTTATTATTCACCGAGAGATACACAAAAATATCGGTCGCGTCAATGTTCATAGAACGAACGGAATACGAACCTTGTTTCGCGCGTATTCGTGCAAATGTATCCCGTAACGTTCGCTTCCGTCAATGGAACTTGCGTTTGACAGACGCGGCCATTTTGCAAGAAACCGTCGGTAGATGACGCTGCTTTCGGTGTCCTTCGACCGCACGTGTACGATACACCTGTTCGAGGCTGCGTGTCAAGGATAACTCTTTACCGAGAATTGTTTCGGGAAATTTCAAAATAACTCGCAACTTGCAACATGTCAAAAAGTAAACAAAGCTCTTTCTCTGTAAGGAAAAAAGAACCTACTTGTAGGAATTAAACGTTACAAAATACAAATATAAACAATTTGTATTTTATATTATGAGATATATAGGATAGAATAAGCTGTCAGTTATCATTACCACTGATCGTAATATAAAGACTGACAGCCCTGGGTAAATTTTCGTATCAACCAAGGCAACAAAAAGACGACGATGAAGACGACGAAGACGACGAAGAAGACGACGACGAAGAAGACAACAACGGCGAAGACTATGAGGAAGAATATGAAGAAGACGACGAGAAGACGACGAAAACGACGATGAAGACAACAAAATCGACAAAGACGACGACGACGACGACAACGAGGACGACGAAAACGACGAAGACAACGAAAGCAACGAAGACGAAGGCGAAGACTACGAAAACGATAAAATATGAGTAGCGGCGGCGAGATAAAATACAAGTAGTAGCGCGCATTGTCCTCCCTCTTGCCGCGCGCTGGCAACAGTCGTTATATCAAGTGGGCCGCGCTTTGGACCGAGCGACTTCGATGCTTTTTTGATATCTTTCTTGATCATTTCGACACGTGCTCATTCGTTACATTCCTATAATTAATAACTCGAGAGTTATTGCAAATATTGCAAAATGGTATGGGAATTTTATATTTGTCTCAATCCGGTCTATGTCTCCGTGAATTCCTCCTCGGAGTGAGGAATTCGTGAAACATTTTGTACATACGTCTTCGACCGTAATTTTATAGTGTTACTTCAACTTGGAATTATTAACTCAAGAAATGTCCCAACGTGTGTATATATATTTAAAATAAAACTTATTCCAAATTCTCTCACGTCTCGCAATCCTAGGAGACGTACGTACACACACACACATTCGACCTGTTTTTCGTATCGATAGTCTTTTGATATTTTCCGATATCTTCTTTTTCCTATTATTCCATATCCAT